TGGGCCACAGGAACGCTTGAGCAGTGTCTGAGCTTAAAACCAGATGGACCAATATAAAATTTGGGCAGTTGTTAATATCCATTATTAATATTGCTGTGATGGTGGATAAGCACTACTTAAATTACTTTTATTGTCATTGTGCATGAAGAATAACAACAAAATTTAAAAAAGGGTGCACACATAAATATATGGAACAAGCCGACGCCTTAAAATGTTTTGGTGAGCCCAAACAACAGGAACTTAAGGGTTAGAAACAGAAAAAATCAAGGAGAAGAAAAAGTTCAACTAGCTGCAGGTGCCTCCTGCTGGCCCAGACAGAGCAGATTACTTCCTCCAATTTGAAGATGTATGGCCTGAATCCTTAGAGGAAAAAATATTCTTGGTTCTGGGGCTTTTTCTGTAGCTCGTCATCACTTTCCATCCTGGCCTGTGCAGGACGCAGGGCCATCATTCAGTAAATCAATAGAAATTTGTGTGCACACATCAAAGTTCAGATAAATAATAATGAGCGCATTAAATATATGACATAGAGTCATTCAAATGTCAATAAAAACATTGTGTATTAGTACATTTCAATTGTTTAAATAATGTAGAATTACATTATTTAAATCAGGAAAACAATACAAAACATGTTTTGATCTACATTTTAGTCATTTTGGTTTCTGCCTGACAAGTAGAGTGCATACGTCAATAATAAAGTCCTTATTATTTAGTCAATAATAAAATCCTTATTATTTAGTCAATAATAAAATCTTCAGTCATTTTGTATATAGGGGAAGCAAGAGAAACTCATGTCATTCTGTCCATAGTATTTAATAGGACAGGATTAGCTAGCAGGGCTACTTAGTAATAAGGCTAACCGACCCATAATATTACTTGGAGCAGCTGATCTCGCAGAAGCCAACAATACAATTACCGACTGACCAGTTCTGTTTTGAAGACAAATACAAAAATTTTTCTGATTGGTTCCTACATTCAATTTTAAGTTCTACTTCATGGAAGTAGATCACCTACCTGCCTACTTAAACGCCTACTTACAGCAACTCCTCTCCAAACTTCATTCATTCAGAGAGAAAATGATATTCCAGGTCACACGTCCTCAACACTTTAGCATAGGTCTGCATGGATTCAATATGTGTCAGATTATCTGTCACATCCCTTGATGACCTCAATGGATATATACATTTTATTAATCAAAACTCACGGTTACTCAAAAAGAGTAAGAAAAATGAGCCCTAATGGCTGATATCATCTGGGAGTGTTCATTAGTAATGTAATAATTGTATGCTTTACTGACATTATGCAACCCTATTAATAATATGCTTTGATGTAAAGGTCACATTGACTTATTTGTAAATTTTGACATTGTGTAGAAAGAAAGTCCCTGCAGTGTGTTGCTCATGCTCTTATGTTGGGGAAATTAGTTTTAACTAAACCTTCAACACTAATTAGCAGACACTTTTCCCCTGCCTTGTTTATTCAGTGCTGCTTCCTTAATAACTTCTGCTACCACATGTAACTCCTCACTGTGTTGTTCGCACCAAAAACAAAAGTTTGGCTGACTTAACAAGCTTTGTGTTTTCTAGTCAGAAAATTCAGAATAATATCACACTCTCCATTTATCTGTGTTTTGCTATGTATTATTGTGTTGTTCCTCTTTGTTGCATTGGAGAAAAATCTCCATTAGTATACAGAGCTTCAAGTGGGTCATGTTATAAATGCTGGAGCAGAACATTCTGTCCCCACTTTATATATGAGAGGTACAGCACAAATAATAGGTTTTTATAGATATTTACTGACCTCCAGCATGCTAAGCCTGAGCCGTTGTACAAGATGTAAAGCTGAGGTAAAAATGTGGGATTATTACCACCTCTATCTGCAAGAAATAACTTCTAATTTGTGCTGTCAGATACTTTCAGAGCACAGAATGAAATACACTGGAAGGTTTTAAAGTGAAGACACTTTTGTTGCGGATTTCAAAAATAGAAAAGGAATGCACATCTTAATGACATTTTCCAACTCATCTGTCGGAGCACTGAGAAGTAATGGAAGGTTACTGGTACAAAGCTGCACTAAGGTTTTAAAATGTTGCTGTCTCAAATAAGAAAAAAAAATCTGCATTATTCGACTGGTTTAATGTCCTTTTAATTAAATATCAGAGAAAGTGCTAGAAAGATAAGAGTTGTCTCTGCATGGAAGATAGATCTACAGCTGAACAGAAATAAAACTCATCAACTATTTGGTAGTACAGTTGGCCCCTGCTTATTTGCTGTTCAGTATTTGCAGATTCACTTATGAGACAGTTTTTTCTGTGGAATGTAATTCAAAATTATTTGTGTAAAATCTATCTATTCCAATATATTAATGGAGCTTGGAATGCAAGTGCATTCAGCTTTTAGTCATTTGTCATTGTCGGCCCACATTAAGGCTGATCCTGGTGATCTGCCTCGAAACTAAGTTTCATAGTTGCCGATTAACTTAGTTACCCAAGTTGATCAACACAGTTACCAAGAAACATTGCACACAGGTGTGATGGCATTTGATGCTCCATTGGCTGGCGTTGGCAGAGAAGCCAATCCAGGAGTGGCATTCATTTTACTTGGCAGTGATTGGCTGTACTCCCAAGAAGACTGTAGATTTTAGCTTCTACAGAAGACTGTAAAGCTAAGACATGTTCTGTAATGTGTAGTAATGAATACTAAGTTATACTTGGTGTTTGAATTATTAAAATAGTCAGTTATAAGTGTTTATAGTGGGCGTGCCAAGTATTTCAGTGATTTACAAACAGGTGTATTCCCTGAACATCCTACGAAAACCGGGGCTCCTCGATAATCGATGTATGAAGTAAAGAAAGAGACAACAATTTAACTAAGGGGATCTAGACAAGATGCAAAGTGGTTGGTAAATGACAACAATTAGAGATCATTCTACACATTTTTGTGTTAAAACTTTTATTCAAGCCATGGAAATATTACTAAAGATTATTATGCTGTGAGAATTTCACACCAACTCTCAGCCACTAATGATCACCACTGCCTAAAGCATTCCAGGGAATATTGCAACTTTTCAGGTCAACTGCTGTTTTTATGTGAATTCTAGAGGAAATTTCCCTGATGTGACTGATTGATGAAAATCCAGAAATTTAAGCTAGCTCAAAAATTATTTCGTTTTTAAAACGCGACAATGCCAGAAAATTAACGGAAATTGTTTTTTTTTTTGAGTCTTTAATGGTCATTTCCAAATACAACACAGAAACAAAGGTAAATGTAAACTAAGGGGAACAGATGGAATGTAACTTAGATGTAATTTAATCCACATGGAGACCAGGGACAGGTCTGCCTTACAGTGTTGGAACCATTAGGAATATGAATGTACAAATACACGTGTGTCATCACACACCCTGTTGGAAATGGAACGCCCCATATGCCGAGCCATTGCATAACCCTGCCATCCAGCCTCATACATTCAGGCAAACCCTACCAAACTCAGTTATGTGCTGCCTGGTGCATCTATGAAGCATCTTCTGTCAGGACACTGACAACCAACAATGTTTCATCACTTTCTCTGGTAGATCTCCTGACAAATAGAACAGTATACGCACCTACCTTCGGTCTGCAGGTGCATCAGATTTCATCCAAATCATGCTGTCTTCATGGGTGTAGTAACACAATTAGTACTTATTTTTGCCAAATTGCAACTTTTCTCAATTCACAGGACAAAATGGTATAATGAAATGGACATGACGTATTTATGAGTTTAAACCTTAAGAAACCAGGCATTTGTCATTTGAATGATTTTTGTTACTGACTAGTTTCTGATTGACCAATGACATTGAAGTTCCAAAGTTTACTGTGAGTAAGCTTCAGTCATCAACATTGCTTTGAAACTTAATAAGGGGAAGAGTCTGTTTTTCATAACAAAATTTTATTTAAGTTTATGGTAGCATTAATAAAATTGCTCTTTGTATAATTTTAAGTATTTCCAGTGATCGTATTTGAAGTTACTTTAAAAATATGTTCTCTTTTTAAATTGCAAGACTTTTAAGTTGAGTTTCCATCCCAGTGGATGAAAATAAAAATGTTTACAAAGCAAAGTAAAAAAAAATCTGTAAGTAATGGTTTATTTTTGTATGTTTCTTTTAGAACAAACTGACTTTCATGAGCTACTAGTAAAAAAAGATATATTTTTCCCATATTTTGCTAATTTCATTGCTGACGGTAAAAATTAGTTTAATGAACGTAATTTTGTTATTTACATAAAAAATCAGGTCTGAAGGTTTAAAAGAACATGTTCTAACAGGACGAGGAGCAAAATTAGCTTCAAGTTTAAAACCGTTTCGCATTTAATCCTTAATTGGGTAACAATGACAACTTACTTATTTATTTTTTGTACTTACAATGCCAGCACTCTGCTAATGTTTTGGAGTCGCTGGTTGCCCTGTGCTGCTTCTTAGTCTAATCATTTTGAAGACGCGAAAAGAAAAGCAGCAATGATGTTGCTTAATAGGACACTAAACAGATTGTTAAAGTAGGAAGAGGCGTTTTGTAGAGTGCTGGTGCACAGTCTGCCAGCTCCTATTAATATTCAAATTGGGGGAGAGAAAAGTTTTTTTTTTTTTTTTTTAGGTCAATCATTTCCATCTCCCCTCGCTGCTCTTTAAAGCTAAAAGAATCTGCTTGTTAGGCGGCGCGGGAAGCAGCCACAGCAAAAGAAAATGCAGCTATTTAGCAGCTGCTGTTTCTTCTGCAGCCACTGAAAAAAAAGAAAAGAAAAAAAAAGTCCGCCAGCTTGTATTTCCTCAAGCTTTTTTTTTTTTTATCCTTTTGCGTCTCCTAACCACTTTCTGAAGATTCTCATTCCTCCTCAATCGGTGAAACTCAAAAATAATAAGAAGCAATTATGTAACTTAGTATCGCTGTAATCATGTTTTTTATGTATGCTTGTCGTATTTGAATCAAAATGTCACATTTTAATCACACCAGTAATTACTTTCTCTTCAGATTAAATTCTTTTATTCAACGGAGAGCATTCCATTCAGAAGCAATTGGATGAGATACTCATTAGTCCTGGACAACTGAAGATGATGTTACCATGGAAACAAATTGTTCTGCTATCAATCACCGGATGGCTTGCAGGTAAGACATCTTAGAACATATTGTATTTCCGTCTCAGTACTCTGCAGCTTGCTGTCATGGTTGATGTCACCAGAACATTTCCTCTAAAAATGTGTCTGGGGTATATTCATTACACACGATTACTTTTTTGCCGCTGTTGCGTTTTCTCTGTGGCGTAACAGTCTGTAGTGCTGGGTCAAAATATTGGCCCCCAGAATTTTTTTGTGGTGTTTCAGTGTGTCATATCATCAATACCTTTTAAATTTCAGATGAAAATACACAACATACTTGAGGGACGTATGCACTCTACTTGTCAGGCAGAAACCAAAACATTTTTTTTTTTAAATCGGGATCATTGCAGCTATTGTATACAACAGAGTGTTAGGGCCATGCAAAGAATTATTATTTTTTTTCTCAGTACAAAAATAAAATCATATATCACAAGGCTAAAGTCATAATCATGTAAGAGTAAACATGCTTTTTCCACTGCACTCTAAATGAAAGTCTCTTTTGTAGCAAGGACGGTTCCTATAACATATTCTTTAAAGACGAGACGACAGAATCAGAACAAATTCTAATAACCTGTGAAGCTGCAGCATAAAGGTTATAATTACTAAACTGAAGGAATTACATGAATGTACGGTCTTCCAGCACGATCTCCTTCACCATTCCCCTGGTGTCCTGCTGCACATTCAGAGTCCACTGCACAGACACCTGGGACTCCTGTTCCCGTTCCTGTTTATGGTCTGTCCAGATCATTATCGGGATCCATGCAATGAATCCAACCTTGCGTTTTAGCCCAATCTACTTTCCAGCTCGTCTCATTCTGCCCTTGCACAGCCACCTGGGATTCGAGGAGGAGCGGCACAGACACTCAACCAGAATGTCAACCCTTGTTCCAATGACATTGTAGCTCCCAGTGAATGTTATTCAAATTGGCTCATGGGTAATTCACGCTCTTCGCCCAAGGGAGAGACAGATCCAAGCGGTCTCTCCCTCTCCCCTGCGGACAAGTGTTTTAGCAGGGCCTCATTCTCTGTCTGTGGGTCCTGGTTCTTACTAAGTGTTATGACTGTAAAACGGTAGCACCTGCAATGCTGCTCTCATCAACAAGCTGTAATGCCCTACTGAAGTGTTCAAAGTTCTTAAAGGGGCAGTGTTATGTATTTTCCAGGGACATACTGCCATTTTACCGTCAGTTGTTATAAATATGTTATATATATCAAATATGGCTTAAAAAAATTAACTTCATATTTTAATGTCTTGAAATTGGGCCTCTGTCTCTTTAAATGCTCCTACTCATTCTGAAATTCTGCCGTCAGGAAGCTGTCACAACATGACTCCTCTATTAACCCTTCAACAACACTTTACCAGCATTGCTCTGAGATGCAGCTCAGCAGATTCACCCTTCAACCACATGTTTGCTAACTGGTGCTGGCTAGTCTGAAGGAGCTGAATGAATTTTTCCACCCAAGCAATTTTGATCATATTTGATCATGTTTCTCAAACATGCATGAAAGAATCAAAGTAGCACTCCAGATATATTTTATACAATATTGCCCCTTTAAATATCTTTGCATTATTTCATCCACAAACATAACATTAATTTATTTGAATTTTAAGTGGTAGACTGGCATATTCTACATAAGAAGCAGAATTTGTGTTTTTTAAATGTAGAAAGTACTGCATTAGTCACAGAACTACCCAAATAACTCATGTTGACGCTGGAGGAGCAGCAGAGATTTAAATTAGGTGGAAGGATCCATTAACAGCACAACTATTTATCAATTTTTTGAAGAACTTTTTTGACACTAGTGGCCTTTATTCAACAGTAATCTGACAGGAAGGAGACACAGAGACATGCTTTCTCCAATTTCATAATGTTCCAGGAACATAACAAAAAAAAATAAAAAAATCTTATGTCTTCAAGTTTCCCACAAGTCGTCGAGACGACACATGAATGGAACAAGGTTCTCTGGTCAGGTGGTCCAAATATGTGTCTACATGACAGCACAATTAAGATGTTAGGATGAATTCATGCCAACCCTGTTCCGCTTTAGTCCAACTCTAGTTTGTTTCACTAGGATGTCCATTTTGTTTGAGGTGGTAAGAACGTGTAATTAAACTCTGATGTGGACTAAAAACCAAGGTCTCTATTTGATTGAAGTGAACTCTGGCATGGTGCAAATGGATATATGACCACCAAGAAGCCTGGAGACCGCTCCGAGGGCAGGAATTGAACTAACGCACAGAGCATTCTGGGTAAAATACAACCAACACAAACAGTCTTGCGGGAGGAATGACTTGAGGTGTACAAAGACAAAAGAGAAATTCTGCAACCGCTAAAATTAGCAGCACTCCACTTTTGTCTATATTTCATAAAGAAGGAAGTTGCGTTCAGTGTCTTCCTCTGAGGTTTTTATGCTGTTTCCTTCAGTGGTTCTTGGAGCAGCGCCATGACAGGCAAGGAGGGGAACAGCTTTTCCAAAGGGTGTGGTTGCTTTATAAGTGTAGAGTGAAAGTGAAGCTGAAAATGGAACAAATGTTCCAATTGAACTGAATGAAAACACTTTAGGTCCAAACCCAATTGGGAATCTATGGCAAAAGTTTTTAAATAAACTTTTATGCAATCTGACTGAACTTCACCTCTTCACCTCTTCACCTGTATACCATTGTTCTTTGGAACAATGTATGCAGATGTGAAGACACAAATTGGTCCTAATATTCCTTCAAATGGAACCCAAATGCAGATTCCACTTTCCATATTTTACTTTGTGAAAACATGATCAAAATTACTTAATGTTTTCTTCCCACTCCATAACTGTGCACTGTGTTGTGTAGATTTGTCACGCTGTTGGTTTGCGATGAAGAGTCAGACAGATTCCAGACAATGTCGAGCTCTGATTTTTTCCTTTTCTTTATGTAGTTCTTCAGACATTTACATTTCAGTTTACACCATTCATCCAAACAACAGGAGGGAGAATCTCCCTCTGATCTGAATTGCCTAGCTTTAAAAGCATTGGCTCCTACCAGGACTAGTTAAGGGGTGGAGACATTTAAATTTCCATATAGAAAAAAAAAAAAAACATTTGTACTAAACTATATTCCTAGGAAAATATTTATTTTACAACTAACAATTTCAAAACTAAAACAAAAGCAATCTGGGCCCAAAACAAAATCCAAAAAAAAAACATCCCCCCTCCCTCTCAAACAATGGATGTTCCCCGTGAGGTTGATTGAAAACACCAGGTCCTTATCAGCACTGCTAATGGGCACGCTTCCATGGCAACACATGACCTGATCAGGTGACCTCAAAGAAAAGAGAGAGTAATTATAACAAATTAAATAGAGCAAGATATTTCCTCCAAACAAAATACATTTACCACAAAAATTGGAATATGGAAAGTACAAAAAGCAGGACCTGTTAGGAGGGGCTAAAACCCTCACACACAGAGAAATGCAAAACAGTGTGTGCTTGTAATGCAACTATTGTAGTTATGTTAACTATAAGGCTATCTTCAAAACTGTATTAGAAAGTAGAAAAAAAATTATATGAATAATGTGCCTTTATTCTATTTACTGAAATTTCAGCACTAATACAGAAGCACAGTGCTAAGAGGGCTAATCATGTTGCTGTCCTATGAATTAGGAACCAGACAATAAGTGTATGCATTTTACTGATTATCAAGTCAGAGGTTCACCTCTACGTAACATATTCAAATAGTTTTCTACGTTGTAGCACTTAAAATTGACATTTGCAGTGATCCGAAGAATTTTTTTTTTTTTGCAGTTCAGCATTCTCAACACAGGACATTTTTATGTCCTGTGTATGAAATGCCTATTATCTGCAAACATATAATAGGCATTTTTTATCAGAAAGGGAAAACAATATTGACTTTACTCACCACCCGCCCTCAAGAAATTACACCACCCACCAATTTGTGCTTGCCAGACTGCAGGAAAACTCGTGGGAGTCTAATCAGAAAGACTAAACAAAAAAATGATTTGTTGTTGGAAGCATTCCCTGAAGAAGAAAAAATATTTTCTGTAAAAAAATATACGCATGAAAGTAAAACTTAAGTTTACAAAACTCTTTTATTAATTCTATAACGTCATGGGGGTAATATGTAATGTGTAGAAGGCGCAGTATTACGTAAGGTTGACTTTTTGTAGCTCTAGATCAGTTATGTCAAAAGTGGGTCCTTAAGGGTCAGCATCCTAGCTCTAGATCAGTGATGTCAAAAGTGGGTCCTTAAGGGTCAGCATCCTGCATGTTTTAGTTCTCTCCCTGGTTTAATGCAGCTAAATCAAATAATGGCTCATCAGAGGCCTAAGAAGAACATTGACATGCTGCAAGGGTTGTATTACCACCAGGGAGAGAATAAAACATGCAGAATGCTGGCCCTCCAGGACCCACTTTGGACACCACTGATCTAGATTATGCTATAATGTTATTCCCACACCAAACACATACCTGGAGTGTTGCTTTGATTCATTCATGCATGTTTGAGAAATCCTTCAATCTCCATGGCAACCAATCAGCTATGCAAAATGCCTGGGTGGCCCTAGCTCCACCTTCAAGGATGAAACTCCTCCTGCTACTTCCAAACTTCAGAGCTTCCCCTTCATAAAGCTTGACTCTTCCCTCCGTTCCTTCAGACTAGCCAGCAGCAATTAGCAAAAACCTGGTAAAACTGTGAATCTGCTGAGCTCTACTTCTTAGAGCAAAGGTGACAAAAACATTTCTACAGGTGGTTTTTCAGAAAGAGCAGGAGTTTTTAAAGAGGCCAATTTTAAGGTGTTGAATTACAAAGTCAAATATTTTTTTAAGTCACATTTGATATATGTAGCAGTTTTTAACCACTGAAGGTAACAGTTATTCAATTGTGCTACCAAATAGCACTGTGTCTGGAAAACACATAATACTGCACCTTTAAGAAAATGTACAGAAGTAATATTAAAACCAGTTTCTAAGCCACATGCCTCAATCTGCTAGCAGTAGGATATTAATTAGACCTTCTCTGGCCGTCTGTTGGCTTCGCGTTGATTTAGTACCAGATTGTGTTTCACATCCCTTCGCTTTAGGCTGCCTGCAGATAAATGCCTCCCCTTATGGCCCTTTATTAGCTGGTGCGCATGTAGTATGACATGGAAATTTGTATAATAGAGGTTTCTTCTTCATACGTTGACTTACTGCAAATAAATGTTCACTAAATAGTATGACATTTGTCTGTGCTGTGAGCATTAGGAGTTGCCTCTTTTTGAGCGCTTAACTTTAGCCTTCAACTGCTTTTGGTGTTAGATTGTCTTGAACTGATAATTAATGATAAACACCTCTATTATATTATGCCAATCAGCCAGCTGATTGACATAATCAGCAATCTTACAGTAGCCAGCTCTGCGAGACTCATTAGATTCATCTCTTAGACACTTCAGCTAAGTAAACATTACAGATAATATAATAAAGCATAAGTGAGATGTGCTGCTCGAGGTTCTGCAGGTGTCTGTCAGAAGACACTGCAGAAAATATAAAATCTTACCAAGTAATTTTGGTCTGGTTTCTATAGCAAATATCATGATACACTTGAAATAAAGCAAAACTAGCATATAAGTAACTTTTCAGCAAGATATAAGATCTTGGATTAAGTAAATACCTAGTTCCACTGACAGATTATTTTACTTATTTTGTTTCCCTCCAGGGGCCTTTTTGCAGGCTCTAGTGTCCTTTATTTGACAGAAGGTGGTGAGACATGCAGCAAATATTGTCAGGTCCAGGAGTTGAACTCGCGACGGGCGCGTCAAGGACTAAAGGCCTCCAAATGTGGGTCGCACTATCCCTTAGGCCACCACAGCACACCCAGATTATTTTACTGATAACGTGGGAAAAAATGTCTTATCAGTAAAATAATCTGCCAGTGGAACTGGTACTTTTTAATAAATAATTTCTTATATTGATGGAAAACAAGCTGCTATCTCTTGATGAAAAGTTATTTGTAAGTTTGTTTCATTTTCAAGTGATCTAAAACATTTGCGGTGTAAACTAGACCAAAATACTTGGTAAGATTTAGTGTTTTTGCAGTGGAGGCCCAAAACGTAAATTAAATGCATGTCTGTTAAGCTTTTTTCCTCTACGAAGTGTCTATATAGCAGTTGCCCAAGCATTTATTTGTCAAACAAAACAGTGATATGTTTTTATCTTAACCATTTACAACTTAATTGCAAGAAGTTAATGCTAAGTAATGTAGCAGAAATGACAATAACTCACTTCAAATCAATTCAAGAATACTTTATTTGTCCTGAAGGGAAATAAATGTTGTAACTCAAACTACAAAAATTTCTTAAAGAGCTGTTGTAGATGCTGATGACTGTGAGCAAGATCTCCTTTAGCAGTATGTATTAGAGGAGATCTTTAGTCTGCTCTGACTGAAGACATTCACTTCTCATGTGGAAGATACTCAGGGTTTTGCAAAATGTTTTTCATTTTAGGAAGAATTATTTTTTGCAAGAGAAAGGAAAGAATAAATTTTAAAAAAGTAAAAGAAATATGACTCTTTTCAGTGTATTTTGCAAAACTGCAATAGGAACCTTATTTTGCATTACATGAGTCGCATGATCAGCAACCCTATATTAGTACTAGCAAAGAAAACTGAAGACAGACAGGGTGTAGTTGGATGATGATGTTTTAATTGACTAAATGCATGAACAAACTTATTCACATGTGATTTTTATTGCATTTCTTGTTTAATGAAAACAACAAAATTCCAAAATGTAGTTTTTTCTTTCATTCAGGTGAGCCATGCTTACTGACTCACTCCCTTAAGATATGGATTGAAAGATTGTTTCTGAGACTCACAAGTCTCACTGAAATCTTTGTTCAAGTCAACTCTGAACTTTTTGTTGCTGTGACTTTAATTATATTCAAATCTCAATTACTGTCTTTGCAGATTTTATGACAGTCGAATGTAAAATCAACAGGTTATTATTACAGCTTAACTACATATCATCTTGTGAAAGCAAAATTGAACTTTGAAATATGTCATTGAAAATGCTGATGATAAATCTGTTGCAATGTAAGTGCATCTTTCAAACAAGAAATACTTCCTCGTTCTATTTTCAAGAGGTAGTGGCATTTAAAAACCTTAGTATCTATGAAAATCTAGAAAACTACTGCATTAGACAACATTTGCATCGTGTAGAACCTTTTAAATAATTTTCAAATCTGTATTTTTTACTGAATTATGTTCTAATCCAGGCATTCCTTCTGACTGTTGAACTTAACATCTTCACTCTTTTCTCAGTGAGTGCATGTTTGCATTAGCTTTTAATGCCTGGTAATGGTGAGAGGGATTTACTGAGCTTGCTGCAAGATAAACAAGCCTTGTATACAAGCAAGAATGCAGCCGGAGGACGGCTTCCTGCTGGATCCTCTGCATCTTTGCAAAGAGCAACACTTTTTTTAGAAAAAGAGAAAGAGGCAGAGAGAGAGAGAGCCATACTGTATACTGCACTCTGAAAAATAATCCCAGATTGAATGATTTTGTTTTTCTTAAAGATTAACTTCATTCTGACATTGTGTGTTCTTCTAGCACTTTCTCCTTATGGGTCAAAGAGACAGATTTTCTGGCTTGTACCAGTAAAAGACTTTCCTTTTCTCTGCAGCTTGTACAGAGGATGTCATATTTCAAGGGCCAAGATGGAGGACAGAGCCTGGTGACCTCATTTTACCAATCAACACCCCGGACCACCAGGCAACTATTGCCTGTGAGGCGGAAGGGAGCCCGCGGCCTCAGTACAGGTACGCCACCGCCGCGTCTAACTCTCCACTGCTGCATCATGCAGAGGGGAACTTAGTTTCCATTTTAATTGCTTCTATGCTGCCGGATGCTTCTCTCTGTCTCCATTGGAAAATCAAAGACGGCACTGGAAGTTGCTTGTTAATGATTTCTTCAGAAAAAAATATTTTCTGCTACAGTGAGAGAGATAAAGGATGAAGCTTGACAGGCTTCAAAGAAATAATGGCTTAATTGACCGTCCATCTTGAACTGAAAAAAATTTGGGGCTTGTGATGTGATTGTCACAGTCAACTCTGGTTGATGAATATACCCACAACTAAAGATGAGCGAGGTTAACTTTGATTATGAAAAAAATTTAAACCGCCACTTGCATTGAAGTTTATAAATTGGCACAGGGCTTGAGAAATCATTAGATGAGAACAGGAAATCCCTATGACTCATTTGCACCACTAATCCTTTGATAGGACTCTGGCTCTTCTCTGGCAGAGCAACGTGAGTGAAAATGGCAGCTGTCTGTGGGCTTTTTTTTGTGGTGGATTGTGTTTCAGAGCTTGGTCAGCAGCATGTAGATGCGCAGCAAGCAGAGTTGAGAGCCAGTAACCTTGTGAGTGACATTCGGTAAAATGCTTACATTTCCTATAATGCGCTGGAGCTGAAAACACGGTTGAGGCGCTGCGGTGGGGGGGGGGGGGGCGGAGGTGGAAGGGGAGAGTATCATTATACCTGTTGTGCAACCTGAGCCTTCCCGGCGATAAAGGAGAAACTGTCACTTGCTTTATTTCACCCACAGCTTAATGGCCGCTGAAGCTCACTTGTGTTGTTGCAGAGCTGTTTGTCTTTGATGTTTTAAAGGGATCATTCAACATTGCCAAATTGAGGCTCTGTTTCAAGTTTATAAGCAGTTTCTTATTGCTCATTTGGGAGCTTAATGTTCAGAGTTCAATCAGTCTCAAAGGCATTAAAGGTGAAAATAGTCCAAAAACCTCCAACCTCCCTTCCAGTTGTTAGCACTGCTAACCAGTTTGCTTTGCTAACCCCAAAAGCACCAATCATAAATGCAAATGCTATTACTAGTGTTATGCTGTCATGGTATTTAGCAGAAGCTAATGCTAAAACACTAAATTCATTAATGTTGATGCCAACCATGAGTCAAAAGGAGAAAGTGAGGAGCCTCTCAAAACAATCCACATACGTGAATTCTTTTAATGTATTTATTGAATTAACACCTCTGGATAATCGTTCAAAAATAAACACATCACTAATCGCTCAATAAGGTTTCTTGAAAAATAATAGAGAACAGGAAGAGAGGAAACAGAGCTGATTCATAAACAGTCTCCATCCACTTTAAAACAACATTAATTTAAATGTTGAACAACTTAAAGAAATATTAACAGTCAATAACATAAACTTAAACTTAGATGTTGAACTTTATTCACCTGAAGATAAAATGAATGTTTTAGAAGTTAAGATTAATTTAGGAAAATCTGTGTACACTAAACATTTTTGGAGTTAGCAAAACATGGTCATTAACATTTGCCCACCACTCTTATCCACAGAGTTAGTGACTGTTCCTAAAAAATAAGAAAAGGAGATACTTTTGGTAGAAATATTTAAAGCGACTGCAGTCCAAGCAGGTTGAACAGTTCTGGTTCCACCTAAGTTTGAAGGTGACTGAAATGTATTGTCTTCTGAAAGGTCTCAAAGTCATTTAATACTGTTGAGTTAAAAGCTACACATGGTCATTACCATGAAGCAGCTTCTAACACGAACAGATTGCTAGGAGTAATTAGCAGCTGTGACCGTCCCTGCCTACCAAAACAAGCATCTTCTCACTGAATAGATCACCTGTCAGAGCTACAGGATGAAGACGACTCGTTACACTTCAGTCCCAGTCTTTAGTCTAAAAAGAAGCCTGACATCTTTGTTTTTGCAACCTCAATTTTACTTAAAGTAAAATGATGTCTAATTTCATAGTTAGCCAGTGTTTGGCCTGTCAAACTGAGCTCAGTCTTATCAGTAAGATCATGATTTTATACCCAGAGAACCAGATCTAACTAACTAGTTAGCTCGTCAGTCTACATTTGACTCTGAAACCACCAGTGTGTTTGCATTTGGTTGTTGTTTATACATCAGTCGGGTTTAGAGAGTGAACATAGCGTTTGCGTATTGTAATCCTTTCTGAAGTTTTTCCTGGACTAGACATTAGCTTTAACCCGCTGGAGCAAGTAATCTGGATATATTCTACATGGAAATACCAAGAAAGATGTCAACTGCAAAAAAATATAAGAGAAAAGAGTTTCCCTTTAAAAATTCAGAACCATCCCAGGATGATCTGCGGCCTCTTCCAGAAAGCAGAGCTCTGAGGAACAAACAGATTATCGCTGTTAGAGTGGATTATCACATGAAAGCTGCGCCAATCAATATTTCATATGAACAATAGTTCAAATGACATCATGTAATAAGAAACGGATTGCTTGCTGTGACATGCCCAAAGAGATTTACTGGGGGCTTGCTGATCCCATTAGTTTCCTCAGAGTGAATTGGTGTTTTTCATGTCATTGTTTTAGTTTATGTTCAGTCTCAACCTTTGTCAACCTTGCATCAAGCAACAGACTGCAACTCAGTTCACATGACAGAAGCAAACATCAGCAGCCCTCATAAATAATCTCTGATTTGCTCACTCATCACTAGTTGTGCAGAGGCAAGCAACAAGCTAGCATTTAGCAGCTCATGTGCCAGTTGTGTTTGTCTGCAGTAGGTGGAGAGCAAAACAAAGAGAGTTGACATCAGAACATGCTTGTCAGGTCACAGAAAAATGGCTTCCAATAAAAAAAAAACTGGAGAGCTTGTGTTTTTAAGGCTAATGTCCGGCACCAATTTTTCATTTTTTTTGTACTCGGCTTTGGTTTATAGAGCTTCAGAAAAAAAAAAATAAACGACATAAGTCAGATTGGCAGTCTTCTTCTAGGTCAGCTGCTCCAACGCTTGGAGTCACTGCCCTCAATTATGAATATGAATAGAATGTGAGACCAGGTTTAAAAAGGACAAATTGACGTTAGAGTCAGCAAGCTCTTGTCACGTCAGATTGACATTTCTGGTAATGCTTTTAAAGACACTAGATTTTCTTTGCCTGCATTTTAACTTTAAGGAATGAGTCTCTTTTTTTTGTCCTTATTTTGGTTGCGTCACTTTTGTTTGACACTGATTGTCCTTGATGTGCTTCCCCTCAGGCAAGGAGAGGATTTCTTTTCTCTTCAGCTTTTTTTGCTCAAACTCAAGAATAGAAAGCACCAAACTTCCTGAAATTTATTTTACTGATGATTAAATTAAAAGTTCAAAATGTCCCAAACAGGCTGGAAGAAATGCCTTGAGGAAGTGAACAAATTATGATTCTTAATTGACTGGAAAGACTATTGAAATGAAAACAAAAAGATTCAGCAGCTTCAAAAGCAGAACAACCAGATTCCACAACAGCTTCATCCTTCATGCCATGAAAGTACTAAACTGCTATTAGTTTAATCTTTCATTATATATTACATTAATACTTCTATTATTATGTATTTATTTATTTATTATTGGAAAAAGAAAGAACAAGCGAGCTATCAGGTAATTTAAAAGTGCAATTGAATGACAATAAACTTTGTCTATATCTTTGTCTAAAAAAAGTAGAGAATAGACTGTACATGTAAATGTCAATTAATGTTGATATTAACAAATGTTTCCCTGCATTTTATTATTGTTATTCTTCTTACAATAATTGCTTAGCAATTAGGAACATTAAATGACAGAACATATGGGGCATATGGAGGCAAAAATTATTTAAGCATGGATTTACAAAATGGAGAAATTGATATGCATTATTTTCAGCTATACTTAAATATATTAGAACTTTAATAAATGATAGTGGCTATATTCTTTCTAGCCAGTGTAATACCCAAACCCCTTTCAGTTTGTGCTAGTTTTTACATTTCATTGCCATTATGTCAAAGCCTTTTGTGGAAAAATCTAAATGGAATTATGTCAAGCAATGAAAAGTCCTTTATATGCTAACTTAAGCCAATGAGTGTAACATTTTCCATTAGCTGGGAGACATTGCCCAGGTACCTTTTTAGATTAAGCAGTTAATCTAAATTATGGTTAAAACTATGAAGTATAAATGTTACATTGTCAGCAAATTCTGTCAAGTTTCACCTGAATAATAATAAAAAAAGAAAATATTACAATATATACAATATAATAGTATACTGTAATTCCGATTCAGTTTATTTAGTCAAGAGGTAATTTGTCTGTGAAGGTAACACACCTGTTTGGAGCTTTGACAGGTGTTTTTACAAAAGCTGGAAACAGTTAGCTTACAAACCTTCTCCCTCCTGACATGTTGATCAAATCACTGACTTTGCCTGAGTTCATACCACATGAATTATATCACTATGTCATAAATGACTGTTCCTTTTACTCTGGATCAGAATTAAAAACATCTTTGATCTTTGTGTTCCAAAACAGCATCATAATCTGTTAAATGTGTCTCCTATAAGCCTGGCTGTTACCACTGAGGGTATAAATATTTTAAATTCATTATTTTACTTCAAAAAAGGCTTGTGTAATTTTCTGAAGAGGAGAACGAGTTCTGGAGGGACAGTTTCAGTCGGACTAAACGCTGCATAAGATGTCCCACTATTTCAGCAGCAGATGAATCCACATTGAAGTATTTACAGCAGGGTGCAGCATGTTCAATCAATACAAAATAAAACAGAGTCCACGTCATAATACCTTTCAAAATGACCCACAACTCTTCAGACTTCTTAATATTTTTTTTATTTTACAGCTACAAAGTATTTCAGTGGGGTTTTATGTAAGAGACCCACACAAAGTAGTGTGAAAATGGAAGAAAAACAATACATTGTTTCAAATTCAGGTTTTGTTTTGTTTTTTCTTTTTTATGTTTATTTCAAATCAAAACAAATTAGAAAAGTATGGCAAGCCTTTGCTTCTCTCCAAGTCT